CTCAATTGTAACTTTTTGAATACATTTACGTACCTGACATGTTTTACTGGTACCTGATTGACAATGTAAATCACTGTATTAAATCAACATATTATCACGCATTGCTGCCCTTAGTGTAATGGTCCATGTGTTGGCCTGAAAACATATTGCCGTCACCCAAATGCAAAAGGGTATTGCGAGACTATTGACAGAGGCAGTGGAGATTTGGAGCCAAGATACAGTAAGAACAGAATAAACTGAGCTCTGAGAAGTTAAGTGATGATAGATTAAATAAAAATACTGCCACTCTGTGGATCAGCTTTGTCACTACAGTATTGAGAGGACACTTATGTGAGCAATGGAGTACATGAAATCATTTAACCATAACCAAGATTGGTCTTAATCCAACCCTTGCTCTGAACATCAACCAAGCGTTTGCTGTAAAATTAAATGATTTATCTAACAGGGAGGTGTTTTTCAGTTTAGGAATCAGACATAGAGCACTTTTGGTCACAGAAAAGTCCCTTGCTTGTTTTTATTTCTCAGCTTTGCATTGTTATCTCTTTCTCTTTACTATCATGTTCTCTCTTCCCTTCACCCCAACCAGTTGAGGTAGATTGCTGTCCTCCCTGAGCCTGGTTCTGCTGGACGTTTCTTCCTGTATAAGAGGATTTTTTTTCTTACTGCCGTCACCAACAGCTGCTCAAATTGAATCTTTGGATTTGTTGGGTTCCTCTCTATAATACAGTATTTTAAGGTCCTCATCTTACCATGTAAAGTGTGTTTAGGTGACTTGTGCTGTAAAATGGTGCTATACAAATAAAACTGAACTGAATTTTGATTGTGATTTACATCTTTTCACAAGTCACATTCTAAAGTAGGTTTGTCCTACAGACAATCCTAAATATCTGAAGAAGTCAAACCCTTGATTGTCTTTGAAACGTCACCTACAGATAAAGGTGGTATATTTAAACAAACAACATATAATTGGAAAAACTAGCAGGGCTGCCTTACTGCATGATACAAATGGGTTGTCCTTATTGCCCATAATTGGAACTTGGAAAACAGTAACACATAATAGTGGAAGGGGGGAGACAAAGCTGCCTCAAATGACCTCCCAGTAGCAGGCTTATACCTGCAGATACCACCAGCCTATGGCCAGTGAGTCAGACTATGTAAGTCAAACAATGAGCTGAAGCACTCAAATAACATTACAAAAAATAAATAATAAAAAATACCATTCAAAATCATTGTACTAGTTGATTCACAGCCAGGAAACACTTCCACTTTCACTTATTATAAAATACTATCATTTTGTCATCATGCAATTCGTATGCTAATATTTTGGAAGGTTCATTTGCTGTTTGTCCTTCATGCCTGATTTCTGTTTTGGCATTGCTAATTTCCCTTGACTTAATATCATTTTAATGAAGCAGCTTGCAGTAGCACATACTCACCCCTCCCTGTGCTGCTTCTCCCAGTGCAGATCCATTAAAGGCCCTGGTATCTGTGTGGCGTCCAGGCAGTCAGAGGAACTGTCAGCTGTAGGATTTCACCTCTAATCCTCCATAAAACACTGGCTGACAACACAAACAGCTGCCTGCTGCTGCTTCTCTGCCTTGTGCTGCTGCTGAAAATGTTCCAAAGCAGAGACAGACAGGAAGGACACCAGTGGACATGCTGGAGGCGTCCTTCCTACCAAAAGATAAAAATGTCTGTTTTTTATTGACTAAATGTTGTTCTAATTGCACAATACAGTGTCATCACCTAGGCCATTGCTTTTCACAAGGTTTAACTACGGACCGCAAGGAAGATTCGGTCGTCATCTCTTTGTTAATTTTGCAAAAGAGCACTATGTGCTGCAGTAGTGTGCATACATGAACTATGCACAGTTTAATACACAACATGTATGGAACAGAGTCCTCTCAGTGGACTCCAAGCAGACTAGAAAAGTAGCATATGGACCAATTTAAGTTTTTTGTGACTGTGTGTGCAGATCAATGTGGACTTTGTAAATGGACTGGAGGCAGTTCTTTGCATACTACAATCCAAGTATACGTAGGTTTGCTATGCGGACAGTCACATTACCTCTCATATCAAACACAGAATAACATTTGAGCATACAGCAGTTGGTTACAAATTATGTTGTAGCCCAGTATCAATGTGGTTATTCTTGAGGTGTTCCATGGAGAGTGAGTCTACTAGACACAGGGCTTCTGGAGAAATTAGGACTTCCTACTGTATCTGGGCATTGTTGATGGAGGGCATTTCCAAGTCAAAACATCTCGAAAGCCCACCAGGGACTACTTCAATTACAACTCTTTAAATGGGGAATTATCAAGGTGTGAATAACAAAGAATCTCCTAGTGCTGTCTTTCCTCACAGCAGTCATTTGATTCAAGCATCACTTATCTTCCACTTATGTTCAGTTGGCGAGTTTGCAAGGTGAACAGTTTGCACGGTCACAAATTTTGGGCTGCACACTAATGTCTGGAGAGGAGTTGGATGACAAAATTTACGCATTGCTGTTGATAACTGACCTGATCTAAACTATATTAACCTTTATGGCTGAAGACAAAGGACATGTATTTCAGAAAATGCATTGTACATTGGCTGCCACTCTGGACTCCTGTCAGTTCCATGTTAATAAGCAGAGCGAGTTGTGGAAGTTTAGTGAGTAAACGGCCACCATGAGAAAGTGTCCTGTGAAGCTTAATGGATACCTGCCTGAGCCCTCATTGACTATGATAGTATTGCCATCGGCTAATGGAAGGTTGTCTATACCCTCAGGGCTGCCCATGTCACAAGTTGTTGGATCCGTGTATGTCATGTGACTGCGTTCAAAGGAATTTCATCAGAACATGAAATTACATCTCCTGAGTTAATTTTGCGCTATTGGTTTTTCAACCACTCATTGATAATGTTGCAACCAGTTAAGAAAATGTTCCAAAATTTGCATTCTAGTGCACATGCTTTTCAGTTGTGTGCATGCACAGCACATTTAGATATGACCTACTGCGTAAGTATGGAGTGAAGACCACCAACGAGACATGAAAGTAGTATAATAACAAGTATGCATCCGTGGTTTCAACAGCTTTCTGTATGCACATCCACAAAGGAGCATAATCAAGGCTTAAGAGTACTAACAATTCATCAAATTTCTATANTATTAGTTGAGTTAAAAGTCATGATTGTGGTGTGAATAGAACCAGAATTCATGATCAAGTTTAACCAGATGCTGAAAATCTATCAGAGAAATGGAGTCTTTTGAGTTCTCTATTTTTTAAGTGTCGCATTTATTCGGTTGTGACACAAAGCTGTATCTAAAGAACAACTTGTATGTCCTTACCTAAGCATGGGCTGCACATAAAAGACGGACAAAGCCACCATGATGTCTCTCAGCGGTTTCTAGACTACGGTTGTGAACCTCGATTGAGGTCGGATAGTTGTTTTTGCTCAGGAGGATTCCTAACTGAGGAGCTGTAGTGCTTCCTTTCTTATCTCTTACAGGACAGGATACACTGGACCGTCCATATGGGAAAAAAAAGTGATAAGCTGTCCCACAATTTCCTGCAGCAATTAAAGTGATGCAAAATTCACAGCACACGTCAACATTAGCTATCACAACATGTAACCTCGTGTAAGTGTTTTAGCACCATGATTGTCTCTATCTCCTTCACAACTTTCCTTGACCTCAGGATGTTTTCCATCAAAGACAAGAAGACGCATTTAGGAAATTAAACAGGACCAACTTGTTATTCTATTCCAGCACAATTCTTCATCTTGACCTTTTGACACTGAATATGACAAGTGAGGCGTGGATCTGACTGAAAACCAGAGGACGTTTTAACCACAAGGTAGCCCAAAAACATACACTGCTTTATCGTCTAATTTACTCTAAACGGGACTCAGCGAGTAAATGTTCACTGAGGTAACAGACTGAGGGAGAAGCAGGGTCATTTTCTCATAGATTTTTATACAGTCAGATTTCTTTTTGCAACCAGATGAGATGTTGTCCCCTGCTGGCTGTAGGTTTAACGCATTTGCACATTAGCTTTAAAACCAGGAGGTTGCGTCCATCTATTACACACAATCTAGAGTCTTGTGGAGACTCCTGGGTCATCTGTAGTGACTCCCTGTTAACACATCAAAGAACAGACACCATTTAATGACTTAAATGTAGATTTGTTACACAGGACACAAACAACCCTTATTGGTACTTTTGAAAGTTCACCGTCCATGTTTTTGTCCAGTATTAAAATAATTTCTGCGCTCAAATGTTTGAATATCTTTGTTTTCCTCCGTTAATTGCAGTGGTTGTGGTTCGGTTGTGCGTCTTCTGCTTCAGTGCTGCTGGTCTTGGTGTTAAGCAGTCCCAGACCAGGTCTTCCAGGGCAGTACCAGCTGGGCCCCATGCGGTACCAGCCCTGGTACAGTCCCCTCCAGCTGAGGCAGCCTAGTGCGCCCCCTAGCAGCTGGGTGGGGAACTGAGGGAAGTAAGCCAAGAGACAAAGCAGTAGAAAGATCCAGAGTGTGAGCAGGAGAACACAGAACAGGAAGAGGATCCTGAGAGGGGCATCTGAGATCCCCCCTAGATTCAGATAAGGGCCAAACACAGCTGTTTCTTCTGCCAGCAGCAGGCAGCAAAGACACAAGAGGAAGACGTCCTCTGAAACTTCATACCCCCTCCACAGCATCCCTGCTCTAAGGCACTCAGCCTTGCTCTCATCCTCTCGCAGCACCAGCAGAGGCCCATTGGCGACATCTGGTCCGGCGTGTAAAGATTCGTAGCAGCTCCCTGTGGCGTTCTCCAGCAGGTCCAGGAGTTTGCAGAAACCAAGCCACAGGCCGCCTGCCACCCCAAGTCTGGAGAGGTGACGCATGGAGAGGGAGAGCGAACGGCGGATGGAGAAGGAGAGGAGGAAGACGAAAGAGCCGACGAAGACACAGGTCCAACCCCAACCAGAGCGCAAGAACATCCTGCAGGCAGACGGAAGCAGACATGTCAGGGACAGGAGGAGAGGGGAATTATGGTTGAATTATGAATGAATTATGTTTTTTTTTTTTTGTTTGTTTTTTTATTATGGTTCATTATAATTGAATTTCCCTTCTGGGATAAATAAAGTATTTTTCATTTCATTTCATAGCGAATATTAAAAGTTTTTATTCATCATCAGGACTTTACTGGCATAAACTGACACAGTAGCATATTTATATACAATCCACAGCTCTGAGAAGGCTCCTACTCAGCATTTCACACTGTGCCTTTTGTCATTAAGTGTCAAAGTAAGAATCAAATATTTTACTGCAAGATTTATTTAAGAATTTTGACTTCATACAACATGGATTATACCTGACATCTACATCTATTGAGTCGGACTAGTTTTTATCAAACCTCCCTGCTCTCATCCCGTTTGAGTTATTATTATTTGAGTTGAACTGTTAAAAAGTCAGATATTTTTCCCAGGACTTGGTAGAGACCAAAACAGAGCCAAAAAGTGAGTGAATAATAGACTTGGATATATCACTTGGACAGAAATATGACTCCAAATGGACGCTAATGCTGTTCTGTGTCTGCTAAATATGTAAATACACATCTGTTTTTTTTCATATTTTTTCATATTTGCCATTGCAACTTATTAAAATACTAAAGTGACAAAAGAATTCTTTAATGCCGCTTTATGTTTAGTTCGCAGTAGCTTCAACAACTGCAGCCAGTTTGTGAAATGTACTGCAAAATGTGAACCAGTAGTACAAGTGTTTGCATTTATAGATGGGATTATTAACACAGAGAGTACGCTTGGCATTACACTACATTACTCAGTAGCATGGAATCTGAACACAGCGACTACCAGAAGGTGAGAAATCTGCAGTAGAGACTCGGGATTGTTGCAAATAAATGATTCTAGAGTCATCATGGGAAACTGATGAACTTCATTCTGGTGTTCTTCTCTAGTGTCAACAATCAAAACACTTGTGTGTTCCAATTGCCAGAGCATATTTTGTTCTGTATTTAATGTGTGTTTATTTCTAAAGTTTTCTTTATAACACACGGGCAGAGTCGAGGCCTGCTCTGCTGCAGCTCCTGTTTCAGATACAACTGACCTGCACCATAACACGACTGGGACAAAGTGGAAGGTAAACTGGAAGTAGTCTCACCTGTAGAGGAAGTGGCTTCTCTTGGCAAAGACGCTGTGCTGAGATACCCAGAGGCTGAGCGCAGGACCGAACATCACCACCGCCGACAGCAGCAGGTGGAAGTGCTGCCGGAACACTGTGTTACCCAGGAGCCTGGCCGCCAGGTCCGTCAGGACCACCAGCACCGTGTTGAGGAACATCTGGACCCAGACCCACAACTCTGTGGATCTAAACTAAAATACGAAAGTCACCTGCTGCTGGCTCTGAATGCAGCAGTGTGTTTGCGTAGCTTATCCACCGCAGACTCAGGAGCGCTCAGTGTTTCATGTGATACGGCTGAAATCCTCTGCAGAATGCACTTAATACACTGTTGACTGGAGGTTACCTCTGTTGGAAAAAGAAACTATTCAGCATCTTAGGTGGTCCATTCATGTGCACCAGTGCTCAGCAGATGAGTGTAGAAACAAGTCTTCTTGGAATTAAACTGAAGTATGTTTTTCAAAGTCTGTAATCAGATCCTTTGGTGCATTGGTGGTGGTTGTTGGTTGATTCTGCAGAAATCCAGAGCTGCTGGCAGCAAACACAGCTGAAGTCCACTCGTGTTAGCTGCTACGTTTCTGCATCCCTGCGTAGAGTTTGTACTGTACAACATGAATGAAATGACAACTGGCTTCAAGCATTCCACAGATTCCAAACGTGTGCCCACTGTGTAATCCAGCCCTGAAGTTCTCCAGTCCAGCAGACACTTCTGCTGACTCAGAGCAGCATGCCAACACAGCTAACTGCTTGTAGCCTCAGTGTAGTTCAGCTGCAGCTCAGTAAACCTCTTCAGTATTCGTAGTGTTTTTATCGAATCTTGCAGAAGTGAGTTGAGGTCCTCTCTGATTTGTTGTTCTTCCAGTTTTCTTGTTGTGCAGCGACGGACTTTGGCTGTCTCTTTGTTGCCTTTGCAGAAATGCAACGTCCACTGCCGTGTTACACCCTGAGACGTCCAACAGTTGTAGCTTCAGAATAGTCTATGAACTGTCTCCATTGTAACTGTAGCTTCTCCGCTCTTCTTCTTCCGTCATTGACACCTCCCCTCTCCAACACACGCACATATAAAAATACAGAGCATGTTCTCGCCCTGTCATATGTCTCCTGGGCCTTGGAGGTGTCACATTGCTCCTACTGAGGTCGCTGAAGGTTGAAACAGTAACAGTGATTCCTTGGTGTTAATGTGGATGTGACGAGGTTTCTGACTTATTTCACTTTAACACAGAGTAGAGAAGCTGAGCAACGCTGACAAGAGCACAGTCAAGGGTTCAGTGTCATCAATTAAATGCAAAATGTCACATTATGTGTGTGTGTGTGTTCATGTGTATTAATAGCAGTAACCTTTGTACTGTATCCGGGCTGAGACTCAGCTGTTGCAGCCGTCTCTGTCAATCAGTGAGTGGTAACACACTTTACCCACATTTGCTGTCTTTTCTCGCTTGCTGTGATGTCACTCAGTAAAAATAGTGTTCAGTGAGTTCAACAAAAAAATTGAGGCTTCGACAGCAGCAGCAGCTGGTCCGTCAATGTTAAACAATGTCTCAGTGAAAAAACATGCAATCAGTGTGACAATCTAAAATTGGGTCATTAACTACAAATGTTCTGTATAAAAGAGATCTGGATGTCTGAAGTGCCTCATTCAGTCGCTGGCTGTTAGCAGATGGTGGGTAGTGTGTGCAAATGGATCTGAACTGTTAAAGTGTGTGTTTGGTGTAATGTTGTTTGATGTCTGGAAGCGATAATGACAAGATTTACTGAATGGTGACAAATATCTGACGGTTTGAGTCTGGTAGAGTTTGTATTACCAGAAACTCAGCACTAAAAGAATCCAAAATCTATGACAAAATTCAGTAATGTCACAGATGGCAAGTGTGTGGCACATGTTCCGCCCCCCCTTAAAAAGCCAATAGTCTACTTTACAACAGCTGAACAGGAAAACATCCGGCCAATCGTGTTGGTGAACTGGCGCGAGCTGGGTGTTGTGAAAACTGCGTACATGTACTGCGGAAGTATAATCTGCGGTGGAAACTGGTTTTTAAAACATATTTTGGGACAAAGTCACCCAGTGGGCAACCAGAAGTATGGAGTCTAGCTCCAACTCTTCTTCAGCTGGGCCGATGGCAGCAGCAGCTGTGAAAACCACACAATCTACCAAGTGTGTCTCCTCTCTGATCTGGTAGATGGTTGAGATCTGACCCCACAGCTGGGCGATGGTTTGGGTGATGATAGCAGCAAATCCAGTTGTGACAGAAATTCAGATCAAGAAGCTTTTAAAGAAAGAAATACATTTTTGTCTTTGTTAAAACATTATAGTAAAATGACCAAAATCGAAAGCTATAGCATTGAAAGTGCCAGAAAACTGAATAGAAATGCTGATTTCAGATGCAGATTAACTACTGGACTGAGACCACTTTGCTTTTTCCTTTGTCAGCAACATGCATACTGTTTAAGAAAGGTCTCTTTATGTTTGATCAACTTCTGTGCCATCCTGTTTGCCAGCAGACTCAGCTGAACTCTCCTGTCTGTCAGTTTCTGTTCTGAAGCTGCTACTGTCGGTACAGAAATAAAACCTGACCTTGTTTCTAAGTGTTAAATGTCTTCCTGCTCTTTCTTGGGACCACAAGCTGAGAAGTGGAGCAGTCCTGTTATGATCAAAACTCTTAGTTACTGCATTTGTTGTTGTGTCTATAAATACTGAGCAAATGTTTCTACATATTTGAAAACTTATTGTTGAAAGCTTGTTTTTTGGCAGATCAATAATTAACAGTCAATTATTGCAAGACTGCAATCAGAATTACATCCGTATCAAATAGCCATGTTTTTTGTTTTTCACTCCAGTAGGCCCCATCCTCTTGTAGCCCTCCACAGGATAAAGCAGGTATAACAAATGAACTGATGGGCATGAATCTTATCTTTCAGATCTGCCTGACTCTTTTTATCACTGTTTTGACAGACCTTTCAGAAAATTATGTAATAGATTCACATAGACAAACCTTGATCTACTCTGGCTGAGTGACGATGCATGATATTGAAAGACCTGAACCACCTGCTGACCTCAGGAAACATCACCGATGACGTGTCCAGGTGCATAAACATGATACACTGCACGTTATAAGAAGTGTCATAGATATTCTGTGTTACGAGAGAGATGCAGAACAAACAAAACAGATGGAAGTTGTTGCAGAGCTCTGTGTTAGTGCACCTGAACTGACTGAAAACGCACAACTGAGGCTTTAAAATGAATGAAGGTTTCGTTTTGGAGGGATGTCTTTACAGAGATGTGAAGAGAAGCCTAAAACACTGGAACCTACTCAGAGAAAAAGTAGTTGCTGTACTACACTAATGGGTTGTATGCGTCTTGTAATGTGCAACAACATTTTCCTCCCTCCCTCCAATGCTATTGTACTGGAACAGCACCTCCAAGAGTAACACTGAGGTCTAATACAGTGCTGGATTCACACTCATTTTACATTTCTGTAGTGCTGCTGACATCTACAGGCACTGAGGTAAAACTACGATACAGTGGAAGAAAACTAGACTAAGGGGCAAAAGGGGGCAACAACAAGACATTTTAGAGGAAAAAATAGTACTGTCAGCTTTCTTGTAAATGCTGACCAGACACTGGGTGGTTTGCTTAAGTATGGCACATTCCATCCATTATCTATACGCCGTTTAATGCTAGGGTCGCGGAGGTAGAAAACTGAAAGATAAGAGGTACAAATGAGGGACAACGTACGTGTTGTTCCTCAAAACAATAAAAGAGGAAAATGAAAATATGTTTTACATTTGCTCAAAGCGGTTATCAGAATGCTTCAACAGAAAAATTGGTGTCCATCTGATAAAGCCTCTGTGAAGAAAGATTTTATTAAGCAGAACTCTGACCACTCCCAAAGTAGTGAAAGACATATTGTAGTTCCACACATTAACACACATTATTATGATCTGTAGTATGAAATCAATATAAAAGAGGGGCCATGATTTATACAGGTCTGTCTTCGGTATTCCACCTAAACCCACACTCCATAAGTTCATTATTTTGTCTTCTACTCCCTGTCTTCGCTACAAAAATATCCATCCATCCATTATCTATACACCGCTTAGTCCTCACTAGGGTCGCAGGGGGCTGGACAGGTCACCAGTCTATCGCAGGGCCACACTTAGAGACAGACAACCAAGCACACTCACATTCACACCTACGGACAATTTAGAATCACCAATTAATCTCAACATGTTTTTGAACCTTGTGGGAGGAAGCCAGAGAACCAGGAGAGAACCCACGCTGCACGGGGAGAACATGCAAATAACGATCCGGGTGTCCTCACCGGGACATAAACCAGCGACCTTCTTGCTGCGAGGCAAAGATCCTAACCACTGATCCACCTTGCAGCCCTACAAAAATACTAACAGTGTAATTTATTTCTCCTAAAATGCTCAATTGTAACTTTTTGAATACATTTACGTACCTGACATGTTTGCTGGCAGCTGATTGACAATGTAAATCACTGTATTAAATCAACATATTATCACGCATTGCTGCCCTTAGTGTAATGGTCCATGTGTTGGCCTGAAAACATATTGCCGTCACCCAAATGCAAAAGGGTATTGCGAGACTATTGACAGAGGCAGTGGAGATTTGGAGCCAAGATACAGTAAGAACAGAATAAACTGAGCTCTGAGAAGTTAAGTGATGATAGATTAAATAAAAATACTGCCACTCTGTGGATCAGCTTTGTCACTACAGTATTGAGAGGACACTTATGTGAGCAATGGAGTACATGAAATCATTTAACCATAACCAATATTGGTCTTAATCCAACCCTTGCTCTGAACATCAACCAAGCGTTTGCTGTAAAATTAAATGATTTATCTAACAGGGAGGTGTTTTTCAGTTTAGGAATCAGACATAGAGCACTTTTGGTCACAGAAAAGTCCCTTGCTTGTTTTTATTTCTCAGCTTTGCATTGTTATCTCTTTCTCTTTACTATCATGTTCTCTCTTCCCTTCACCCCAACCAGTTGAGGTAGATTGCTGTCCTCCCTGAGCCTGGTTCTGCTGGACGTTTCTTCCTGTATAAGAGGATTTTTTTTCTTACTGCCGTCACCAACAGCTGCTCAAATTGAATCTTTGGATTTGTTGGGTTCCTCTCTATAATACAATATTTTAAGGTCCTCATCTTACCATGTAAAGTGTGTTTAGGTGACTTGTGCTGTAAAATGGTGCTATACAAATAAAACTGAACTGAATTTTGATTGTGATTTACATCTTTTCACAAGTCACATTCTAAAGTAGGTTTGTCCTACAGACAATCCTAAATATCTGAAGAAGTCAAACCCTTGACTGTCTTTGAAACGTCACCTACAGATAAAGGTGGTATATTTAAACAAACAACATATAATTGGAAAAACTAGCAGGGCTGCCTTACTGCATGATACAAATGGGTTGTCCTTATTGCCCATAATTGGAACTTGGAAAACAGTAACACATAATAGTGGAAGGGGGGAGACAAAGCTGCCTCAAATGACCTCCCAGTAGCAGGCTTATACCTGCAGATACCACCAGCCTATGGCCAGTGAGTCAGACTATGTAAGTCAAACAATGAGCTGAAGCACTCAAATAACATTACAAAAAATAAATAATAAAAAATACCATTCAAAATCATTGTACTAGTTGATTCACAGCCAGGAAACACTTCCACTTTCACTTATTATAAAATACTATCATTTTGTCATCATGCAATTCGTATGCTAATATTTTGGAAGGTTCATTTGCTGTTTGTCCTTCATGCCTGATTTCTGTTTTGGCATTGCTAATTTCCCTTGACTTAATATCATTTTAATGAAGCAGCTTGCAGTAGCACATACTCACCCCTCCCTGTGCTGCTTCTCCCAGTGCAGATCCATTAAAGGCCCTGGTATCTGTGTGGCGTCCAGGCAGTCAGAGGAACTGTCAGCTGTAGGATTTCACCTCTAATCCTCCATAAAACACTGGCTGACAACACAAACAGCTGCCTGCTGCTGCTTCTCTGCCTTGTGCTGCTGCTGAAAATGTTCCAAAGCAGAGACAGACAGGAAGGACACCAGTGGACATGCTGGAGGCGTCCTTCCTAC